TACTGAGTGAGGATGGAGGCTTGGGGTGGGTGGGCTGAACCTGGAGGCAGAGAGAGCAGTAGGGAGGCAGTAACCCAGGGGACAGGTGACAAAGGCCCCCCTCATCAGGGTGCTGGGGCTGGAGGCATGGGGAGCGAAGGCATCCAGGAGGAACATATGGAAGAGAGTCTGATGGCAGCTGGTGAGATGGGTCCAGGAACCCTCACCAGCGTCTGGCTTGGGAGGGTGATCTGAACTTGCCTGGGAGCAAAGACACGAACCAACTGAGAGACCCGGTGGAGACAGGCCCAGGGTGCAGTGGCCGTGTGGGCTGTGCTCAGAGAGAGGCGGGTGCTGGAGGAGAGGGAGACGTCATGTGGGTGTTGGTGGGTGGTGGGCGAGGGCAGCGGGAGCAGGGTAAGGTGATAGGAGTGGCGACGTTGAAGGGACCTGGAAGAAGAGAGGCCGGAGAGCCCCGGTGGACGGCATCATTCTGTTCCTCATTACGGGGTTCTTTGCAATACACCCCTTTATGTGCTGAGCCGAGGACTGAAGAAGCTCACCTGTCCCCGTATGTGTCTGTCCAGCTCCAGAGGATGAGGCTATGACCACCCAATTGTCTCCCATGACGACCCCTGAGCCTCCCCTCAAGCCACGCCTGGGGGAGCTGACTGTGACAGATGCCACCTCCGACTCCCTGAGCCTCTCCTGGGTGGTCCCCGAGGGCCAGTTTGACCACTTCCTGGTCCAGTACCGGAATGGGGACGGGCAGCCCAAGGCGATGCGAGTGCCGGGGCACGAGGACAGGGTCACCGTCTCTGGCCTGGAGCCGGACCACAAGTACAAGATGAACCTGTATGGCTTCCATGGAGGCCAGCGCATGGGCCCCGTCTCTGCCATCGGGGTGACGGGTGAGTGGATGGGGGAGCCCCAGGGTGGGACCCAGTGGGAGGGTCACCCTCATGCTCTTTGGGGACGACTGAGCAGGGGATGGTTCAGAGATCTTGGTCAGTACCACAGACCCGCTTGTGGCTGAGGCTGTGGCTCCCTTTGTCCGTCCTCTGTGCTTGACCGTGGCTCCTCCTGGGCATGTTTGGTAGCTGTCAGCCCAGCAGGAC